GAAAAAATCACTACCAATGCGGAAAAAACAATACCAATGCGAAGAAACACTACCACTACGAAAATATCACAACAAATGCGAAAAAAACACTAGCACTACGAAAAAATCATTATCAATGCAGGGAAAAATCAGATCTAGAATTTTTATTCATCCCACCTTTTCCAGCCACAGTCGTATCCTAAAGAGAGAGAGAGAAGTGGGTAGGGAAGGAAAGAGGGGAGTGGGCGGTGTGGTGGCTGGTGGGCAGGGGAAGGGGAGGGTGGTTGGGTACCACTACAAAAAAGTGTGCCATTACTGACCAGAGATTTCCGTCGATAAAGGCCAAATGTGGTCGGAAATGGGGTTTTGCGACGCCATAAGGCCGTCGCACGCCGTTCCAAATACGAGCGTCACAAAAACTTTCTTCATGACGAGCCATCGTAAAAGATGTTTTGCGACGGGTTGGGGTCATCTCTAATGCCTATTCAAATTGACGAACTACATAGTTTTGTTTTTGTGACGACAAAGAATCGTCAGGAAAATTAATAATCTCGTCAGTAATAAATTCTCATTGACGAAGATTGACGATATTGTTCATTTTTTTGACGAGGCATAGTCGTCGCTATGATTAAAAAAGTCATCGGTAATACTTTTTTTACGACGTTGTCTATTTAGGACGATACATATTTGTCTCTATAATTAATAAAGTCATCGGTAATACATCTTTTGGACGACATTTAATGGTATTTAGGACAATTGAACACCGTCAAAAATATTATATTACGACGAATGAGGGATATCACAAATAAGGATTCCAATATTCGTAACATTGCTAAATCTTGGGGAAAAAATACTATTAGCGATGATATGTAGTTGTCACTAAATTATTTGGTTTGACGAAAAAATACAATTCGAGATGATATGTTCGCGAAAAAAATACTATTGGATCTTGACATAGTGTTTAATTAACTGCTTGCTCCACTTCTTCCTCTGTAAGTGAATAGTTGAATCCTGCTTCATTGAAACGTGCATATAACGCATCCAATTCTTGTTTAGGAAACTGAGAGAATGTTGTCCAAGGATCATTGATATGTTGGTGGAAGATTTTACTGATTTCATGAACAACTGATGGTGTGATTATCCTGAAAATGGAACAAGGAATTAGCAATGGACTAAGCAGGAACGCATTGAAGAAAAATAAAAGAACCAACGGACCTCCGAATTCACGGCCATGTCGTCTGCTAGAACTAAACAGCGAGATTGGATAAAATCTTGCAAGGGCCTGCGTTTGAGAGTGATTTTTTGAGCAAGAGATTCTTCAAGCCGAAGCTAGACATGGATGGCAGGGCGAGACTAATTCGATGGAATGAAGGGTGTCATCAGTCCCACTGGATGCATCGCCACTGGAGATGTTCGAGCCGGGGAAGAAGACGAAGAAGAAAGGAAGCGGTGGTGATTAGGGTTGAAATTTTAGGGTTAATGAGCATACGTGCTCTGTAGGAATGAGGCTTAATTCTCATTAAGAATATAATTGGGTTTATATACGGGTGGTCTTGAACTCTTGTTTATAATATAAGCTTTTTTTCACCGTCGATTATAATATAAGGTTTGTTTCGTAGTTTACATATATAAAAACTAAAAAGTTCAAAACAAGGCATACCAACAAGTTAATTAGTATGCAAGGCTTGCATGTGAGTATATTGTTTTATATTAATTAGTAATTAGTTAATCAATAAATAAATATATTTAATTATAAAGTATGTAACCTTTTTCCAACATGATTAGTTTTAATGTAGCTTAAAATGTATAAATAGGCAACATAAAATTATTTGGGCTATAAGTGTTGCGTATAATTAAGCAAATACGACACAATTTAATTGATGACTTAATTTTAAGTAACATTTACAAAAAAGTGTTGTCAGTAGTAATTTTAAGCAACACCTTTAATTAGTGTTGCAAACATAAAGTTGTCAAAAACCACTTTTCCCGTAGTGACATCTCTAAATTCACTTCTATACATATACATGTCTAGATTTACTCCTATATGGAAGTCATTTTGAAATCGTCTCTAGCACAAATGTCGTAATTACCTTGAAATATTACTCCGACGGAGTCCTCTAGGTTATGTATGTCAGTTGGATGGTTTAATTTTTTGCTGACTAAGCAACTTAGTTGGAAGCCAAGTCACCGCTCTTCTAAGTTTTTGGATGAGAATAGACAGAAATGACCATTTCATTACACGTACAAACCTGTATTACCGAATCGAGCAAATTGAAAATGTTTGTAACCATTTTGTACAAAGTGTAAGTTTGTGACCATTTTTTTATAATTACCCGCATTTCTAGACAAAAAAAACGTTGTTGCATCTTTATACAACGTCTAAGCTTTTAGCAATGACATAACTTATTTATGAATTATTACCGATGAAAGTGGAATAACGTTCCTAAAAGTAATTTCTAATGAAAAAATTGACCTGCCCTTGCTAATATTTTGTCACTAATGGCAATCTTTTCCAATGACGTGTAGACTTTTTTTCAAACTCAATGTTTTGACGCAGCATTACTGACGACCATATTTTATTCGTAGCAGATAACCATGACACCTACTTTTCCCTCCAAAAAGTAGAGTTACTGACAGAGATTTTGGTATTTACCGACGACGTTTAGGCTTTGTCACAAATACATAACTTGTTGATGAATTATTATTGATGAAAGTAGAATGTCGTCCCTATAAGTCATTTTCAACGACGAAATTGACCCACCCTCGCTAATTTATTGTCAAAAATGGCAGTCTTTTCCGACGAAATGTAGGCTTTGTCACAAAATCAATGTTTTGACAAAATATTACCGACGATCATATTTTATTCGTAGCAGATAACCATGGCGCCAATTTTTCCCTCCAAAAAGTATAGTTAGTGACAAAGATTCTTGTCTTTATCGACGACGTCTATGCTTTGTCACAAATACATAACTTGTTGACGGAATATTATTGACGAAAGTGAAATGTCGTCCATAAAAGTTATTTTTAGCGACGAAATTGACCCGTCCTCGCTAATTTTTGTCACTAATAGCACGCTTTTTTGTAGTGGGGAGAGTTGGAGGAGGAGGAGGAGGAGGAGGAGGAGGGAGGGCATGTGGGGGGAGCGGAGGGGAGTGGAGGAGGTGAGCGGAGGTGGTGGGCGGAGGAGAAAGAGAGGAGGGCGGGTAGCCGGCAGTTGGATGCCGTCGTCTAGGGTTCGCCTGGAGGGGATGGTAGAGTAGGGTTTGGGTGGAATATATAGAATAATCAGGTGTTGAGTCTTTTTTTTTTTTCCAAAATTGTCCTGAAACAAAATTAACCGTGAGATTAAAAAAAAAGAAAAACAAGAAAAATGGACGGCAGATAGTGATGTAGCCACGGTGGTTACTAAAATTTTAGTTACCACCCTAACGCATTCCTACTTAGACTGTCCACAGCAAGATGGGAAAAAAAGGATAAAAGGGGAAAACAGGAGAAGATGGCTCACAATAGGGGTGGGTATTATGGAAAAAAAGGATAAAAGGGAAAGAAGGGGAGGGTTTATCCTGCGCTAGAGGTTAAAAGAAGGAGGGGAAGTGGGTCCAGGTGGGTGGGAGGAGGAAGGGAAGGGGGGACCATGTGGGTGGTTTTTTTTTTGTTTTTTGTTTTTAAAATTGTTTTATGGTTTTCTTATTGGATTTTTATGAGTTATTGGATTTTATTGATAAAATTTTTTATGTCCAAATAAAAAAAAAATATATCGAAATGTTCGTCTTAATTAATTAATACTACCTATATAAAAATAATGAATAAATTATCAAAATAAAGTTATCATATCAACTCTAGATTGATTTTGAAAAAAAAAACCCCTCCTCAATACCCTTTTTTCCCTACCACCTATTGTGGCCATTATCCTTCTCTCATCCTTTTTCCTGCTTTTCCCATCCTTTTTTCCCTTTTTTCCCTTCCACCATTGTGGATAGTCTTAGTTCGGAAAGACATCGAAATCAATCAAAGGAAAAATGGGAACACTCAATAATTGAGGGGGCAAAACCCCACTGAAAGCTAATTTAAAAATGATCAAAAATAAAGACAAACAGACATGGCGATGAGAGCTATGGGCTGTTTAAGAAGCAGAGCGAAAGAAATCAGAGGAAGCTTGCAGCAACCCGACGCCAATCCTCGTAAAGTTTGAACCTTTTTTCTTCAAGTCTGCAGCTAAATAAGGAAGAAACAGAGCAAGGATTGGAGCGGAAGAGGATGAATAAGTACATCAAAGTGGCGATTCCTCTGTTTCTCTTACTAGGTACTCTGTTTTTCTTCTTGGGTTTCCTTGTTTTTCAGGTTCTGCTTCTTCCTCCTCCATTTCTCTACCTCTCAATCTCAAATGCTTGTTTTTTTTATCATTAAAACAAAACCCAAATCCCTTTTCAGGCATCGTGATCGGAAGCACAGTGGAGAAGTGGCAGAGAATCATGCTCTTCTTCCACCAAGAGGATGGAACTCATACGATTCCTTCTGCTGGACAATCTCAGAACAAGACTTCTTACAAAGTGCCGAGATTGTCTCTCGCCGTCTCCTCCCTCATGGATACGAGGTATCACTAGCTTAAAAAAAACGAACCATGCTTCTCTGTGACATACAAAATTGTAGCTTTTGCTAAGATCATGATCTTGGCCTCTGTAGTACGTGGTGGTGCATTACCTCTGGGCTCTGGTATAGAAGAAAGGCACTAGGAGCTTCCACAAACTCCCGTGGCTTCGATGTGATCGACGAATGGGGGAGAGTAACCCCTGATCCAGATCGGTGGCCTTCATCGAAAGGCGGCAAAGGGTTCACTCCATGGGACTCAAGTTTGGGATTCATATCATGAGAGGGATAAGCGTTCAAGCTTATGATGCAAACTCTCTTATCTTGGACATTATAGAGGTAAGGTATTTCTTTCTTCTCATGGTTGCTATGGATTGTAAAATACATGAAGACGATGGCTTAGTTTTTTCTGCTCACTTTAAAGGGGTCTGCTTATGAAGAAGATGGTCGGCAATGGAGGGCAACATGATGTAGGGATGAAGGAGAAGGTATGCGGATGGGTGCCGGAAGGTTTCATGAGTGTAAACACTAGCTTGGGAGCTGGTAAGGCTTTCTTGAAGTCGATCCATCATCAGTATATAGAATGGGGTGTTGACTTCAGTAAGTTCCTCTCCAAAAAAGGTCATAAATTGGATTAATGCTATTGTTTTGGCTCATGAACTCTGGTAGCTTTCTCAAACTAGGCCATAAACTTTGCTTTTTTTCCAATCCGAGTCCTCGAACTTTATGACTTGTACCGAATGAACATTTTGTGTCAACTTAGACGGAGTTTTCATTATGGGCCCCACTTAACCACATAAGCAACTTCGTATTCGAAAAATTTCTAAACTACTCTTGAAGAGAGACATTTCATTCAGGAGACTGTTTTTTTCCCTTCCAAAGTTGTTGATTGAACTGATCAAGATCCACATCAAAGAGAAAGATCGGTGGATGACTTGATTTCGAGAAGTGATGAAGTTTAACAGATCGTTCTAGAGAAGGAAAAGTTTATAGGGCTCATTCGAGAAACCTATCAAAGTTCAAGGATCAAAGTTTTAGCTCCTTCAACTTTTAGAAAATTTCAAAATGGGTCCCATCGATTGTTGCCAACCTTGCTATTTGTATTGCAGTTAAACATGATTGTGTCTTCGGGAGTGACTTGAGTGTGGATGAGATCACCATTGTATCCCAGGTAAATGAAAAAAAAATTGAATGACAACTAAAAAGGATTCAACTAGTTTGAGTTTTTGGTAACTTGAGATGTTGAAAAGATTGAAGAATGACAGTTGTTGTTGTTCAGATGATGAAAGAGGCTGATCATCCCATTACATATTCTCTTTCTCCTGGGACCTCGGCGACACCATCTATGGCCAAGCAGGTCAGCGGATTGGCCAACATGTACCGAATAACCACCGACGATTGGGACAGTTGGAGAGATGTAGCATCCCATTTGAACATCACAAGGTTTCCATATTGTACATATCGTACGTAATTCGCGTTTTCATCTTCCTTGTTCTTGGTTCGATTATGGACTTAGAACTGTCTATGTTGTGTTTTTTTCTGGGAGTTCAGGAACTTTGCTGATGCTGAGATGATTGGTGGCTCTGGCTTGCTTGGCAAGTCATGGCCTGACTTGGACATGTTGCCCTTGGGATGGCTTACCGATCTAGGTCAAACCCAAAAAAAAATCCCTCTTCCATTTCTGGATTTCGATTACCTAACTCGCAAGTAACGTTTTTCGCGGTCTTTTTTCATATTAGAATGATGGACCACATAGACCAACTAGGCAATGTAGCCAAAATTGCGCTTTAAAACTTAAAAACTTAGGAGTTTACGTTTCTAGGTCACTAAAACGCTTCTACAGAAATTCTCAGTTTTTATAACTTATGTAGTTAAAAACTCCGCTTTAAAACTTAAAAACTTACAATTTTACACTTCTACATCACCAAAACGTTTTTACGTAGAAACTCGCTTTTGACTACATTGCATCTAGGCTCACTCTAGATGAGCAGAGGACTCAGGTAGGTCAGTTTTCATAATCACTCATGACATAGCTTGGTTGAGTAGTGAAGAAACAATCTGTAATTTATGTGGCTCTTCTGAATTCTGATCAAAAGATGACACCATGGTCCATGGCCAAGTCCCCTCTAATGTTTGGAGGAGAGGTTCGTAAGCTCGACGAGAATGCAACATTCGACATCATCACCAATCCCACATTGCTGGAAATAAACCACTTCAGCTCCAACAACTCAGAGGTGAGTAGGCACGTTTCATTGTTTGTTTTTGCCGTAACAGAAACCAGACCCATTTCAACCCATTCTTCAATTTGCAGGTTCATCTTGCTAGTGGCGACGAAACCAGAGCATGGATCGCGAGCGGAAGAGCAGATTTGGATCCAAATCTGAAGCTCTGTTATCTTTCCCTTACCACAATGTGCTTATGTTTGTTTTTGAAGAGTCGTTAAAACTATGTGTTGTTGACTCATTTGTTTCCCTGCTAGGAGATATACCTAGCTTTCTTCAACCTTAACAACACACGGGCGATGGTGTCAACAGTTATGTCGGACATAGCCACAGCTCTTCCATGGAAGAGGGCGGTGCGATCATGTCGAGGAAAAGAAGTTTGGAGCAGGAGAAATATGGGTGTTATGAATCACACGTTGTCTATGGCAGTGGAAGCTCATGGCTCTGCTCATTTTGTTCTTAATTGTAGCTTAAAAGTGGGAATTTACATGCAAAGTTTATCATTACAATCCTAACCCTAACACTTAGATGAAGAGGTTCTCCGTTAGAATGTGCTCAATTTTAAATTTTCAACCTTCTGAGTAAATTTAGGAAGGATATTTTTGTTATTTTAATTAAAATCCAAAACAGTTTGTTAATTATACCAATAGAAAAAGTTTGGGTTAATACCTTATTTTCGCACGAACTATAACCATATAATCAACATTGGTTAGTGGTTTCAGAAATTCCCACCCTGGCCTCAACTATACACCATATATATTCAATTGGCCCGACTCATGGTTTGACCGTCAATTTGAAAGGTCAACTGATGACCGTTAGTCAACGGTCCAGGTCATTGCCATATCAGCACAAAACCAACAAAAATTCAAAATATTTTATTGTTTCCTTTATCTAATTAATAAGATAATAAATAATGGAAAAAATAAAATAATTTCAGAACCCACCCCACTTATCCTCTCCCTACCTTTCTTCTTCCATGTATCTCCGTTTCCACCATTTCCAAGAACAAAGTGAATGAGCTCAATCCAAAATCCTCAAAGTCACATTGTCTTCTCTCCAAAACCCCTTCGAAATCTGCGGCGGCAGCTCCCGTGAAGCGGCAACTCCATTATCTGTAATCTCCCCCTTTCAGCCTAGCAATATGTTCCCCTTCCCCTGCAAACAAGATTCTCGGGCTCGGATTTAGGATTCAGGATTGGGGCTCGGTCTGACTGATTGTGGGTTATGGGTTGGCGACCCAGATGGAGGGTTGCAGATAGACTCGCGACCACTGTTGGGAAGGAAGAAGTTGGGTTCGAGCGATGATGCCACTGAAATAAGGGAAGAGGAAAGCCTGGATTTTGATGGTTCTCGTTGTGGCCAAAATTTTCACTCAAGAAGCTGCGACGAGAAGAAGAGCAACGGAGCTTCCATCTCCGCCGAGCGCCTCTCTCATTTGCCTCTTCTGCCACCGACTGAACCCAGAAAGAGAATCGAAATGTCTGAAATGGGCAAGAAGAAGAAGACAAGAAGCAGGGGAAGGGAAGAAAGACCCAAGAAGACTAGAAGAGGCTTTTGGCTATATGGGTTTTTGCAATTGGGGTTAGTATTGCAGTTGGGTATGTTAGAGAGTGGGTTGGGAAAGGGATCGTCGGGGAAGGAAGGTTGGGCGAGGCATGGGGATGTGTGGGCCGAGTGAGGAGAGAGAATGAAGATTTTTATTTTATTTTATTAAATTATTAAATTTTTATTTTCTACATGGCATCCACGTTAGAGGGGCATGCTGATTTACTAACGGTACCGTCTAATTTGATGAAAATTCACGAGTCAGACCTATTGAGTATATATGCTGCATAGTTGAGACCATGATATTAATTTCTGAAATCACGAGCCAACGTTGATTGTATGGTCATAGTTCAGACTAGAAATAATATATTCACCCAAAAAGATTTCGGTCAGATATTTTGCTCAAACCAATTATTATATTATTATTTGTAGTTAGGAAAGATTAGCTGAGGGTTGTGCAGCACCATTTCGTTTATTGGCATATATGATCATTTAATATGTTTCTTTTCTCTCTACCAACAATCAAGCGGTGAGGGATCGTATCTGAAATCAAAGTATGTAGAAGCTATAAATACATTGGAGATATATTGCCTTCAGTTCTCAAATGATAACACTAATAAAAAAACTTCGACGAAAGTACTAATAAAAATTAGAAATTATAGATGGTTAAAATAATTGGGATAGTTTTTTAAAGGCCTATGGTAGAATTCTACTGAACCCTATAAATAGTGTTGGAAATTTGGTTGAACCGAACTAGTCAAGACAAATCGGTTTTGGGATGAACCGACCAACTGATTTGAGATTATACCGACCTAATCCATATTCTAATTCCAATCATTACATCATTGAGATTATACCGACCAAATCACAATCTCCATATAAAGACTAGAATTTCAAAGTTTAAATCCAATAGCTAGATAATTTCTTTCCTAGCTTTTTTTGGGAAATAATAAAACATATGAGATCATACCACCTTACATCTAGGTTTGTAATGTATAATTTTTTTTACCATAGAGGCAAATTGGCAACTCTGTTTGCTTTCCTTTTTTGTAATTTCTTTTTTCATAACTTCGCTTGATTTTGATCAAATATTGATGAGAGAATTAGTGTGATGATAATTCTTATCAAAACGTCCTTTGACACAAACATATTATTTTTCATGTTATTACTGCTTCAGTATTATATTGAGTTTTAATTTAATTCATAGTATTATTGAGTACTACATTTATTGATTTTACATCTCAAAAATATATTCACCTTTGAGAATTATCTTTTTGAAAAAACAGTGTTCAGCTTGCACATATCTCAAGAGCTATAGTTAAGGGGACGGAATTTTGGTGTGTAACCTTTATAGTTACAGCTTGCACATATCTCAAGAGATATAGTTAAGGGGTTTTCAATTTCTCCCAAATTTAGCGAACTATATCTCATTTGTTTCAACACTGATTTAAAATGGGTTAGAAAAATCATATTTATAGGAACTTGCCAAAGAAAAGTTGAAGAAGGCTATGATGAGTAATTTTATAAGAATTATACAACCACGTCAAAGAAAAGAGTAGTTAGGTAACAATCTACCTCTACTCTTCTATTGTTTTTAACTTCAACTTCATTCATTAGAAAGAAAACAGCGTACCCACTAAACCATAAAGTTTTCAATCAAATTATACATTCAATTGTTGTTATTTATAGATCCATGATTATTTGTGAGTTGTAGTCAACATTTGTTTAATCTAACTTTATTGTTTTGTATTGCAGGAAGTTAGATTTTATGGAATGTATATTGAGAAACTACTCAAAGATTGTTCATACAAACCGAGAGCATGAAGTTAAATCTTTAGATCAAGCTCCTGGATTACAACATCATGAACCTCATAAGTGGGTACACAGTTTTGTAGAAAATAAATGATGAAGAAGAAACATCTCAGACAAAGTTAATGACATGTACGCGTAAATTTAAATTCTTGGAAATAGAGTTTCACAATTAAAAAAATGTTGCCACTAAATTCATTCAATGAAATGCAGGAGAAGAAGGAAGAGTATGTTAATAGCAGAGATAGTGAATTCAGTGATGGTAATAACGACGTTATTGAGATAAAGAAAGAGATTATTGATGGTGGATGTAGAAATATCCATGATGAAAGAAAATAATGAATTGTTGATAATATTTATGATTTGTATAAGGTGAAATTCTACTACCGTGAATAGATTTTTCACATTTATGTACATTTTACCATTAAAATTAGGTTTTAATGAAATGCAGGAGAAGAAGGAAAAGACTATTGATGGTGAATATAAATTTTCATTAATAAATATGAAATGGTGTGGAGAAGAAGCTTTTGATGCCGGAGCAATCAAAAAGAAATCTAAAAGGCAATTCGCAGTAATTTTTAACAATAAAGAGTAAATTGAAGTGTGTTTTGGTTACTAGCATGAGTTGTGTTGTTTACTTTTGATAAAGAATTTTATCCATGAATGATCAAGATGTAGTAAAAAAAATGTTTTTTATATTTTTAGTTATTGAATAATTTGAATTCTTTTATGGTACCAAATAAATTATTCTGGCAATTATATTAATGTTTATAATATTTATCCGACCAACGGGCGGGCCAAACTCTAGTACAATTATATGTGACAACATGGAATGCAATTGATCAAACAGATTACGAGGGCACAACAAGCTAGGGATGAACATTACGTTAGTTCGGGTGGAAATCGAACGAACCGAATAAATATCAAACCAGATTATGACCTTACTACTTGATCGAACCAAATTAAATAACATTTGGTTTGGTCCGTTCAATTCGACATACCGAATTGCAAAATGCCCGCACCTGTCGTAAATACAATTCAAATCAATAAACTCGAAACCAGATAGGAAATAGAAAATCTGTAAAACATAACTGACACAGTAACTACCCAAAAACATCACAAAAAGGCAATGGCAAATTGATCAGTTGCATATATGTGAAAACCGAAATATTTATATGTTCGGTGACTGAACTATTGGGTAAACCAAACATGCCATTGCCAACCCTTGTAGCAAGCCTTTTACTTGAAATAGAAACTAACTGAAACTTGTTAATGAAATGAGTGTGTTTGTGCAGGTTCGGCTGCTGAGTGAGATGGTCATCTGTAAACCTCGTTCTATTTTTTTTTATCGCTCTGACTTAATATATAAGACTAGCGCAGAGTCCGGCCCGTTGGCCGGAAAGTTGTTATTGACATGCTTTCTTTTTCTCTTTTTAGTTTTGTGTTTTTTTATGGCGCCTAAAGTCAGTGAGATGGAACAACAGTGATGATATATAATTTGCTAAACAAAGTGCAACTAATGAGCTTGTTCGATTGTTTAGTGGTCATAGTTTGAATTATTAGTCAATTAAAATTCGTGAAGCAGTTTAGGGGATGCTCTAAATTAACAGGGAACACCTACCAGATAAAAGCCTCCTATAAATTTGTAGACAATTGATATCTTGTAATCATCGTAGTGTGGGATCACTTGCTCCTTTCTCTTCATATTTGGTTGTGGAGTTGCAGCAAATTTGCAAGTTCACCTATATATTTTGCCTGATAAATGAGTAGATATCTATGATGCCTCAATGCCACAACTAATAAAATGGGAGGAGTTGTCTTTATGTTGAGGGAGTAGTCGTTTCCCGAGACAGATAAAGCAAAAGAAAATCAGTAACACAGGTCGAAAGCAAAGTTATAGAAGCATGAAGACAATAATATCGTGACTCATATTCGCTTGGCCGCATATATATCCAACAAACCTCCATTCCCTCGATAATCTATATAATTGGCATATAAAAAAAACCTAGAGTTTAAGATTTTGTACCCTCGCTGAAACTCCATAGCTATGGTGGATTAGAATTCAAACGGTGTAAATAAATCATGATGCACAACAACAATCGAAATGAAGTCTTATTGAGCTCATCAATCAAAGCACGTAGCTCAGGTTATTGAAACATTA